ACGGTGACCCAGCGACCGGGCTTGCCAAAGACCCACTCGCCAATGTCACTGAGCGTCTGGACCTTCTTGGGCGCGACCATCATGACCTTGGAGATGCAGACCGAGGCGTAAATGTTGATGGAGGCCATGAACGCGAGTGCAATCGTCGCCCAGACGTAGCCGGCGCGGGAGTAGTTGCCCGGCATGCCGAGCGTGCCAATGCCATAGACAACGCAGAAGAGCGAGAAGCACATCTTCATGTCCTCCGTCGTCAGAAACGGACCCGCCATCTTGTCGCGGACTCAAAGCAAGCAAAAGTGAAAATGAACTCGGAAAAGTAGAAAGGTGCTATTATATAGACACGAGCTGCTTCGAGAGGCGAAAGCGAAGAGGGCAACGGCTTAGGACTACTACGACTCGATCGTCGCTACACCGTGTTTGCGCCATACCTTGCTCGGCCACAAGCTGTGGGTACATGCCAACGCGGGTGAACCTGGATAAAGCGACGTAAAAACCCGTAGCTAGCGAGGCGACACCTTGGTGTTTGTATGCCGCGTCCTCGGACCGGTCACTGTAATGGGTGGGTGCTGCAGGTCCCCATAGCATTCTGTTCTGTGCAATCTACGGTCCACATTGCTTGACGCGCTCCACAACACCAAGTCGAAATGGCAAATGCGGCCACTGCAAACGTTCGCTGTTCTTAACCTCACGTATGCACAAGGGACACCGAGGTCGTTCGCACACTCAGACGCCGATTCTCAGTCCAACAACCGAAATAGTCTGATCATACAAGCCAGTCGAGCGTCTACGACGGACCTAGCCGGTGCAAGTACTACTCACTGCAACCAGCGCAACCTGATTTGATGGAAGCACGTCAACGCTTCGTTCGCACTCGTACGACGTTGCGAGTGCGGTGTCTCTTTCGAAGAGCTCGTTGGGGGTCATTCCAATGCCCACGAGGCGCGGCGTGGATGTCTAGCTCAATGCCCATCGCCGGTCTGCAGCAGGCGCGCCCCACCTCCGCTCCGTAACCTGCACACGCTGGAGCAGGCTCATCGAGACCTATAGAAACCAGGCGCTCGTACGAACCAGATTTCGGAACGAAGCGACCCCTTGCCGTGCCATGGGTGCGTCGACACCAGCAGCAACACTTGGTAGACAGCCGCGCTGCGTGCTAATCTCACGTTTGCGCAACGTGGTGGCGATTTCTGAGTAAGGTAATAGAGATCCGGACGCTTCGAGAGATCCCACAGTGTCGGATCGTTGATGCTGTAGTGGGTGTGCGAGTAATGTCGTACAAAAAGAGCACCTGGTTTGCATCGGTCGTTTGCTCTCAGAAAGGCCATACATCGTCTGCATACTTGAGGCTTGTTGCATGGGGCTTTGTGCTTCAAGCCACGTGATCAGTACATCGACCTCAGCGTCGATCGAGGCACGCGACGCATCGTCTCGGACCAAGCTTTAGGACGGAAGAAGCGCTGCATGGGTGCAGGCGAAATAGAACATCACGACCAGACTGCAGCTGCGACACGAATGGGTGATGGATGCGGCTCCCCAAGCTCAAGCAGGAGACGAAGAAGGACCAAGCAATCATGATTTGCGTTCTGGGTGCAAGGCTCTGGATCTATCCACCTTCGCGGGCTTCAACCTTGGCATTGCGAATTGACAGCGTGTGCAACCGCGCTACGATTTCTTGCGGCCAACTTGGTGTCATGCAAACACTAGGTGAATAGTGTCGAGAAGGGTGCCGTGCCACGGCTATCCTGTACAGTGTGTGACCTGGGAAACCAGCGTCGCGGTTTGGATTACCTACAGTGTAGTCTTTTGCCTGGTGTAAAAGGGACGCGCCGCAGCCTCGTTCGGTTCCTTGGACGAGCCTTTCTTGTCCTGTCATTGGCTTCGCTGGTGCATTCGAGCAGCACGCTGATCGGAGCTGGAAAATGAGGTTGAAGGATCCCTCCAACGATGTGTGCTGGAATAGCGATCGGCGGCCACGTGCTAATTCTGAGCAAGCGCACCGACCCGGCCTGACGTTGCGGACGCCCATGTGCATATCGTACATTGGTTGTCGTACCATTTTATTTGTTGTAAGTAAAGACTTTGTCATGTACGGGGCAGAGGGTGAATGGACGTTGTACGGTTCGCACGAAAATCGAGCAAAAAACTGGTCATCTTGGCGTAGACGTTGCATTCTTCTTCCCGCGATTCTAGCCGATGGTTCCTTAGGAAATTGAACTTCATGGAAATCCTTGCGCCGCCCAGCATACTTGACATCACATGGTCGTGACGAGGAGAAACGACCAATCACATCGCGTTCATTTCTGATCAGGTGCTCAGTTTGCACTTTGGCGCGACATGATTGGTTGAAATGCGAGGAATAGCGCCAGAAAGGCGAATCACGTGGCACACCAGGTGGACCGTTTGGATCTTGCACCTCGCCGATACTAAATGTGTGCTCACAGTGTCAGAACACGCCGCGTGATCGCTTTCACATCGGCCTCTGTTCAAACGATCATTTTTCAATTTGCTTTGCGCCACCAACTACCATCATGGGCAAGCCATTCCTTACGTGGGAAGACGCCAAGATGTGCTTCTCGCTCTTCTGCGTCGTCTACGGCATCGGTACGCTTGGCATGCCGGG